CTTGATAGCTCAGTTCATGCCGCCTTCCATTCTCTGCTGATGATTACGTGCAGGCTGAAGGATTGGTAATAAACCAGATTGAATTTATCCTACTTTTTAAGGAGAGGACTTCACTGTGGTCACATTTTATTTTGAAACTCTCTGAAGTCTCCAGAGGGTGCCTACTTGCTCTCTTTAATTGGATGGAGCTCATAGAATTGGCCTCTAAATTAGCTGTCTCCTTGAAAATCTCATCCATAGGCCCTGGCATCTGGCAACCAATTCCTGATTACCAATCAATATACAACCCAGCATTGGAACAGAACTCCAGTACTACAGTCGAGTCCTTTATTCCTCCTGAAACACCTTCTGATACCGAATATCTCTTTACAATATGAAAAATACAGCAACAAGAATGCACATAAGTGCAGAGAAAGCAAGCAGTCACCTTTCTAATCATCAAGCTAAATATGAAGTCTAAATTATGGTCTGAAACCTACTCCCTCTGTTACTCATATCTATATTAACATCTGCTAATTTCTTTGATTGTAAAATTCTATAAACTACCATTGAAATAAGAAAGAGATAATTACAATCCAGTATCTGGTAATGTAACCAAAGCACATTTATACTGATTGTTAATGTAAGAGAATAATAATGCATTGCTATTATTAAAGAAAGGCTTAAGATATGTCTTGAAAAGACTAAGTTTATTTGCCCCAAATATTAGTGGTAATATTTTCCTTTGGTATCTTGAGAAAGGCACAACATATGATGGACCAGTAATAAGTAAAGCTCAATAAATACCATAAATAAATAGCATTCAACTTTTAGCTTTCTTTTTTATATAATCTGATGTTCAAGTTTGCAGTAAGCCTTTTGCAACTAGTACAAGAAAATTAATAATCTTGTCCCTTTTGTCTACTTATGATATATTATTTTGTTTTCCAAATGTGCTGTGCTTGCTTAAAAGGCTCATGGTACATGGGGAAATTTGCTATCCCTCAGGTGTAAGATAAATGTCTTTTGTATCTAGTCTTTAATGAAAGAATATGGCAGGAGTAGTTTCTTTATCTTTAGACTAGAGAAAAAAAATCATATCACCTCATCTCCCTTGTGGTTCCTTTTGCTCCCTTCGACATAAATCCACTATCGGTTTGGTAATTTCCTGGCATGGAAACTCTTTTCGTTGCATCACGTCCTGTATAGAAAGCTCTTTCTCTGGTCTTGCTCCTTGCAATGAACCATTCAGTTTCAGTTTGCACTATGTCTGCTCAGATTCCAAACAATGTGTGTTGCGCTCTCACATTTGGAACTTGTTTACACCTTATTTTCAAAAGGCTCACTGATCACCAGTCACAATGTTGTTTGTGCACATTAAAGGAAGCTGCCCATCTAACCAACCTAAGCAAAGTTGAAATCTACCCCATTTTAATCTGCCTAAGTGAAGATCACAAGAGATTTGATTTATGCATGGTTATGCATGACCATCTCCAGTGTCTGTGCATCGTAAAAACAGTTTAAGATTAAAGTTAATTAGGAAACAAATGGGGTCGAGTAATTTTACACAAGGTTCCCTTCTCGAAAGCTTTGTATTAAATCCTGTTCCCAAAAAAAAATGAATCTAGGTTTTGAGGAGTTCCGGTTCTGAGGAAGTCACTCAACTTGAAATGTTAACTCTAATTTCTCTCTACACAGATGCTGCCAGACCTGCTGAGCTTTTCCAGCAATTTCTGTTTTTATTTCTGATTTATGGCATCTGCAGTTCTTTCAGTTTTTGTTTAATCTAGGTTTTCTGTTTTTAATCAAGATGTCTCGCTATCTGCTCTTGGAGGTGGCCAACAGGATATAGGAGCAGATTATCACTGAGTCAGATTGACTCTAGGATACTTTAAAAATGTTGGCCGGGACCTAATTCCAGATTCCCAAACTCATTCCCAGGTTTTCTGATTTTTACCAAATCCTTTTATAGGTCGCAAGCCCACACTCTGCGCTCACATCCTGGCTGACTCCGTTGTGAAAATAGACATGGCCTCTCCTCCTTGGAGTGCTTGGGGCAGATTTTTTTTAAGGGCTGTGGTTCATCATAGATCAGATAGGTCATGATCTGTAGTCTGCATGAGGAACCATTTGAAAAGCAAGTTCAAAAGGTCCTTCTCAAGCTGCCCCTTGCGAATGTATGCCCTTCTTCTCACCCCCACGTGCCCTTTATGCACCCATGCTTAGCCATCGCATTTGCATTCTGATTTGTGCATAATACACTGTATAGGAGCAATGAACCCCATAGTGGCAGTTATAAAAATAAGTTTTGGAAAAGGATTCATTTGTAACTTTTCAATATGTTTTAAAACAATGTTTAAAAAAACTCTTCACTGTAGCCCAATAAAAGTTAAATCATCCATACCCTTTAAATTTTCAATATCACTTAAGCTTTTGTAAACAAATACTGTGAAATTGAGAACAGAGATCAGACAGCCAGAGCTAGTAGGAACTGCAGATGCTGGAGAATCTGAGATAACAAGGTGTGGAGCTGGACGAACACAGCAGGCCAAGCAGCATCAGAGGAGCAGGAAGGCTGACATTTCGGGCCTAGACCCTTCTTCAGAAATGGGGGAGGGGAAGGGGGTTCTGAAATAAATAGGGAGAGAGGGGGAGGCGGATAGAAGATGGATAAAGGAGAAGATAGGTGGAGAGGAAACAAACAGGTCGAAGAGGCGGGGATGGAGCCAGTAAAGGTGAGTGTAGGTGGGGAGTTAGGGAGGGGATAGGTCAGCCCAGGGAGGACCGACAGGTTAGATACTCAGAGCTGTCAATCAAGGTGGGGCTCAGGCGTTCCCAGACAATAATGGTTGCCTGCACTCTCAGCCAAGCCTCATATGTCTTCTTCATGCCGCAAGTTGAGGTAGAAGCAGAAGTAGAGTTACATTCAATTATGAGAATGTTGCTACTATAGCTGCACTGCTCCACCATTAACTTTGGGGAAAAAAATCATCCAGTTTGCTGGCTCACCATTCAAATTGATTGAATTGCATGAGATTGCTGTACTTATGTGGCAGATTTGAACCAAAATTGCCACAGAAATTGAGTTTTGACTCTTGCAGTCTAATTATCCTTTTAATCACATAGCTGTTAATTATTGCCAGTCAACCCCTCTGATGCTTAAAATGAACTATTACTATTTCTTCAGGTTTTGATTGTTGTTAGAGATTTTATGAATTTTGTTTTTATTTCTCCGTTCTGCCTCTCTTTTCCATCGTAATTTTCTCTCCCTTTCTTTGTCTCCCTGATTTGAAATTGAATCATCTATTCTAATTAACACTTCCTTCTTTGTCCTTGCCCTGTTAATTTCACAATCCATCAATATGACTAGTTAAGGAGAGACATCTTTTCTTTTGTCCCATTTGTTCAGCCTCCAGCTCTCCAGTTACTGTCTCTGTAATGTTATCAGCTTGCATTTTCAGCAACTTCCCAAGCAAAAATTAAAAACCTGAATACTCAAGGCCTGTCGAGGTAATGCCAGAAAGTGTTAAATGCACTGATGCTGAAGGTAGTTGCCCAATTAAAACATCCAATCACAGTCACAGCATTGTTATGGTGCAGAAGGAGGCCATTCAACCCATTCAACCCGCTGGTCCAATAGTGCCAATTTCCTGCCTTTTCCCCAAATCCCTGCACACCGTTTCTATCTAAAAATTAACCAATGCCCTCTTGAATGCCTGACAAATTATTGTACAATGACTATGTTGAGAAATGACGGCCATTTCCTATAGAATCTTAGAGCAGTTTTGTGTAATTCAAACAGCAGTATATAATACATACAAACCGATACATGAACATTATTTAATTCTATTTGCAGTCACAATGTAACTTTACTTATCCAAGGTGATAGCTGTTCCTGAGAGAGGATACAGACACATTGCAGTTGAGTACAATTTTACAGTGACTGATTATTCCTTTACGCAGCCTCTATTAAAGGCTGCCACCTTCCCCAGCAGAATCTGCTGCTACATTCAACCTTGGTCCTTGTGGCAGGCCTATTCTTCTGCCCTTCTGCTGTTTCATCAGAGTGCCGAGAAACATTCCAAATGTTTTCATAGTTCTGATGCCTGACATGTACAGTAGGCAATGAAGAATTGCAAATTATTGGGTCATTATCAAGCTTAATAGATTGTTAATTAGTCATTTCAAAATATATTTTGATGCCCGCTTGTGTTCCAAATTTGGGTATCTTGTGTGATGATACGGTATTGCTGACCCAATATCATCACACTACATTTTACTTCATTGTCAAGTTTTTATTTTGGGTATATGGCATAAGTAAATTCCAGCTCCTATGCTCTTGAATGGGGACCATGATGCCTATCACAGATTGTTGAAAAAAAATCAATTTGTTCACCAATGCCTCTTTGGACAAATCTGACATCCACTGGTCTGACATGCATATGATTCCAAACTCTCAGAAATGTCGTTGACCCTGATACCCTTGGCAAGTCATTCAGTTCAGGGGTGATTAGGGGTGGACAACAATTCATGGCTTTGCTGGAGAAGTCCAAAAATTTGAAAAACACTTACACTCTTCTTGAAAAATATTACTGGATTTTACACTGTATTAATTGCTGGCTTATAAGTTTGTTAGGCTTTAAAATATGGAAATATTTGTATGTGGAAGGAATACTGTGATTGATGTGTCATTTAGTTTGGTTTTAAATAATTTTCCATATCTCACAGCTATAAATGATTTCTTGATCTACTTTGTCACACTATTCAGAAGAAGTTATTTCAAACGCCTCACAGCTACTCATTCTTTTATGTATTGCTTTTAGATGATGGAGTCGGTTTCTGATAAGATAAAACTTCACAGTGGTTCTTAACTGTGATTGATACAGCATGTCAAAGAGCACAGCGGCTCCCATATGGCTCTAATGGTCTCTATTTCTGTTTTGTAATTTCAATGAATTTCTTTAAACCAATCAAATGTTAGAGGACATAACGGATTGTATAACCTTGTCCTTTTATTTTAGGTCACCCAAAAACCCAGAACAGAAAATAATCAAGCGAGTGATTGCCCTTGAAGGAGATATCATCAGGTAAATATTCTGTGCTGTAATGACTTGATTTTTAAGGCTTCTGTGATACTTGACAGTTAATCAACTATAAAACCCAGCTGAATGTCCAGTGTGGATTCTTGTGATTGTCATGGTGATATATTAGAAAGGCCAATTTGTTTTGTTGCTTTTTGAAAGAGGTGTTGCCTTTTCATGTTCTGACCAAAGTAAATTCAATATTGCTCATCTATTTCTGATTTAAGACTCAAACCCTAAATATCTAATGAAATTCCCCTGGCAGTGAAAATGTATATCATGCCCAATTTGTGGTTGGTTTTGCATGTTAGGTAAATAGACCTTCTCAGTGGCTGTCATAATCTTACATTAAAATGGCTCATCTCCGCAGTTCTCCATTGCAAGGTAATCTTGAAAGGTGAATCCAAATGGCAGGCAGAAGCAGAACTAATAGGGTTTTGAAATTGATCAGCCTGTTGGTTATGAGATTTAAATGAGAAATGGATGAAAAAATGACTCTTAGCTTTATGAGTTATCTTTTATTCTCATGCTGGCTATTTTGGCACCAGTTTGGAATGCAGAAAATTCATTGTTAGAATTTTATTGTTTATAGCATGGTAGATGATAACTGATTAAATATAACGTTCGTTTTCTTGCAATGTTTTCTATTGCTAAAACATGTAATGAAGACTGTTATTGAGCACCAGTTTCTCGGGAACTTTCTTGGTGAGCAATGTTTAGGCTATTTATGTGGTGTTGTGTAACGGATCTGACGCAGTTAGGATATTATGCAAAGGTCAACTCATTTGGTATAGGTAGTTCTATTGACAAAGGTGATGGATGAATCAAACTTGGGAAAGGAAACCAAAAAAAATGTCAAAAATTAACAGCAGATTATTTAGCATCTATAAAAAAGAAAAGAACTGAAGAGTAAAAGATAAACAGCATCTTACTAAGGTTGGAAAAAAAGTTGAAGAAAAATAGAGATAGAGGAAGACAATTATCAAATATGATACTTGTACAGATTGCCTAGATGGGTGGAGTGATTTGTAAACTCCTTTATCAAAATGTTTGATTAGATGAGATCATTTGTGAAATGGAGAAATGTAAAAAGGCAAAATAATATGCAGATAGTGTAAGGTTTAGAAGTACTCTGACAATGAAATAAATTAATGTTGTTTCCGTTAACCTTTACAATTTGCATGCAGTGGGTGAAGTAAGCATACGGTAGAAAGCTAAAAGTATTTAAAGTACAGTGTGATTTGCAGTGCTAATATCCATGGGCAAAATGGTTCAAAAACCATTTATCTCCCTCTTGATGTCTGTTATTTTTCAATTGTCCATTCTAATTCTATGTTTCCTTGTTTGTTCCTTGTGCTCTCCAGCTCAGATTTTAACAGGAAATTGGTAGGGTATGAGAGATAGGATGAACAGCAGCCCAACTCTCAATCCCTGACATCTCTCTTATGGAATCTGGAGATTATAACACTTGTTCCCCATTTTAATGCAATCGAGCAATCCACTAAATTGTGTGAAATGAGCAACAAACCCATGTTTGTTTATGGTTTGATTTCTGATGAGTCTCCAAAGGCCTGCTTAAGGGAGAGTTAGCTTCACTTCTACCTGATTTGTTTGTTGTATTACCACAAAAGGGTTCATTTAGATGAATGACTCTTTGCAGCAATAACAATGTAACAACAGTGACTATACTTCAGAAACACATCATTGGCTGTAAAGTGTTTTGGGAAATACTAAATTTGTGAGAGCTGGCATGTAAATGCAAATTTTTCCTTTTTATTTCTTGCTTGCTATTTTCCTGTAGGCCCTCATAGAGAAATCAGGGCAAGTAGGGAGTTATTGTTTCTTACCACCCCTGATATCTCTCCAGGATGAATATCCAGTAACAAGAAAAACAGAAATTGTTGGAAATGCTCAGCAGGTCTGGCAGCACCTGTGAAGAGAAGGGTCACCCGATCCAAAACATTAACTCTGATTTCTCTTCACAGATGCTGCCAGACCTGCTGAGCTTTTCCAGCAATTTCTGTTTTGTTTCTGATTTACAGCATCTGCATTTCTTTTGGCTTTTATTGAGTATCCATCAGGTCTAGAGAGAAGTGCCTGAGGGAGTCTAATCAGTAGCATCACCTTTAAGTCCTGGGTCCGACAGCTTAACGAGAGCAGCAGCAAGGATGAACATAGCTCTTCAATTTCCGTGATCATTTAAACAAGGGTTGCACCATGTAAAGCCTTGCTGTTCTGTATGTATTTCCATGCCCATGTAATTGATCAATTTGTACAAGTTATCTGCCATCAAATGGGAAGTGTAGAATTATAGCCAAATAAAAAAGCAGGGTCACCACAGACCAAAAATCATTAGTGTAACTGAGTGCTCTGGAGTTTCATAGTGACATTCTTCACAGTAATATTTTAAATATTAGGTAATGAGACCTGGACTTCCATTAGCCAAAGTGCCATCTTTCTGATCCCGACACTTACCCTTGTGTTCAGGAGTGTGAAGCTAAAAGAATGGCCTGCATAGTACCACTATCCTGTATAATGATGGAAGAGGAGCACCAGTAGCAGCAAAAACAAAAGTCTCAAAGTGATATGTCATTGCAGAAGACAACAAACCATTCAGCATTACCCCTTTTGGTAGTGCTGCCTTTTGTGCTTGTTGATGCCAATTTTGTGTTTGCTTAATCAAATGAGCTCTATGGGTAAGGTGACCATAAATACCAATTGGAAAACATTGTGCATAAAGGCATATTTAATCCAGATTTTAGCCGTAGTGCTACCAAATCCTAAGTTTTCTCTTTCCCAGTGCTATCACAAGCTTCAAAATACATATATAAATTGAAAGTGATACAAGTTTGAAATCCACCGTGGCGGAGGGTGAAATACAAATTTGGTAAATTAAAGAGTAGTACAATAGTTACTATTTAACCATTGTTGTAAGATCCCAACTGGCTCACTAATATCCTTTAGGGAGAGAAACCTGGTCAGGCCTACATGTGACTACAGATCCGTAGAATATGTGTAAATTGAACACTAAGAAGATAATTGCTGCTATTCAAACTCTGCGCAGTCTAGCCTGTCCTGACTTAATGCACCATTTGGACAAGTTGTATAGGGAATTGGTCACATCATGCCTGGGCTCTTCACCAACTATTACTTCAAAACAAAAAAAAACTTTCAGCTAATATCTAAGATAAATTTGTGAATGATAGCATTTTACAGGAAGGATTAATTTAGGAGCCATTTCTAGGCGGCATAACTTATATTTTGAAAAATATTCACCCCAGTTCATAGGTTTTCAATGATTACAATGTTATATCCACGCTGCCTCAGCCCACTGATGCTAAAAGCACAGACAGCTCGTGAATCCTTGGCTCTCTTTTTCTCCTTGTGTCCTCTTGAAATCTGTGCAATAAATCTCAAGTGAGTTTTTTTTATTCTCTGTAGCCCGAGGCTCTTCCTGTATTGTCATGATCTGATCTTGTTACTTCATCCATCAATTCTTCCATCTTGGTAATGACCCATGCTCAAGACCCAAACAGCGTATCCTTCACATATGAAAAGTCCACTCTACACTCTTTGCTTAGTAAACATTCAAATGAATGCAGAGCCCCGAAATGTGATTCCATTTAACTCAAGCCACACATAAAGTATATTACTAAAATTAGCTCTCCTTTACCCAAAGTTCATACCCATAAAAAGAGTTTGTTACATATGGGCTAAATCTTATGGTCTTTTGGCTAAGTTCAAGTTGTGTGAAATTTTTGAGGGTTTTGGGCCACGAGGCCTAGTGAGTTTTCTCACCGTTATCATATGAAATTCACCTTGTTACTTACCAGCCCCTGTGGCATTTTTCATGTCCGATTGCTGTCACATCTTACCACACGCCATTTCCAAAATGATTCACCACTCAGCAGACATCCCAGCATTTACCACCACCTTTTAAAGCCTCTTGCACATCCAGGCAAGTAATGTCAGTCCAGACCTGCCCTACATGGTTCCTGGCATTTGGCCTGGACGTGGCAGAGAGAGGAGTAAATCAGCATTTTGCTTTGCATGCATATTCCTTGGAATTCTGCTGGATTGGGTGAATAGGGAGGACTTTCTCTTTCCCCAGGATCAGCAATCACTTCACAGGTCTTCTGCCAACTATAACAAGCTTCCTGGCTTTGTGCCAGGCTTTGGCAAGGCAACAGTATTATGAGCCCAGTATCTTTGACGAGAACAAAGCACAGACAGACGAGGCAATACAATGCAGGGCTGCTATCAATGAAGAGATAAGGACAAAGCAAATGAGCACTATGACGGTGAGGGAAGAGCCTAGAGATGATGCCTGGTCCAGTCCCTGAACTGGGTGAAAGTTCCTGAGTACGCAGTGTCCTTACTGCAGCATTGCAGTGATAGTTGCCAGTGCAACCCAAGGTACATTGCAGTACAGAAGAGATCTACAGGTGGATTGGAGCTGTGCTATTAGGTTTCTTAGTGATTAGTACATGTTGAAAGCCAATGCCTGTGTGACTGGCACTCATGGAGTGTGCCCTGAGATAGCAGTACTTTGTTTCCAACATGGAGGACGTTTGGAGCTGCCCTGTTAAATCCAACAGATACCCGCTCAGGTTTCCGTGTCGAGTTTTCCAGATATTTAGTTTGTTTGGTGAGTTTGGAAGATAAGAGACTGAATATTAATAAGGTGAATTGTGCTGCTGCTTGCTGCTGCTTAGTGAGAATCTCACCTCACCACTTGTGAAAAGCATTAAAGACACCACTGTGGAGATGGACCTTGCCAGACTTCTCGTCCGATTCTGCCACACGTCTTGCAATAGTCCACATCACCCAGACCCCTATAAGATCCCACCCAAATACAAAAAGCAAAGGATATTCATATTTCCTTCTCGAAACACAGTCAAACTATAGAAGGATGTACAACAGAATGAAAAGGACTACTGCTTTATCGTTTCTGAAGAAACTGGGAAATGAAATATCTTCCTGCATCCTAGAATCGATAAGATATA